TTACTACTAGTAAGGCACTTGTTACTACTAGTAAGGCACTTGTTACTTGTTCGATTTCAGTGCCAAGAGTGTGCTCCACTTCACTTGTGTGGTGCAAGAAAGAATGATGGAACAATACTCTAAGAGTGAGATCGACACAGCACAAAGAGACCTCAGATACTGGTCTATTGTTATGTAAACAGTACAAGCTGATCACGGAGAATTGATTTCTTGGGTAGTGGTCGCTTGGAGGATATGCTCTGAAGCGCATCAAGAAGGTGGATGGAAAGGTGCAGCCGGGTAAATTGCATGAACTGACCTGACACTCAAGACCCTTCTTCCGACGCTGTCCAAAAAATCCTACTCTGTAAAGATGCTGCATTTTGTATAGTGAAAGGCAGAACATGTTTGATCACAAGTTCGTGATAATTCAGTCAAGTAGAGCAGCACTTTTTCTTGCAGGTGCCTGAGGAGGTGCAGGAAGAGTGTAAACTTCTTTCGGCCGTGAGTCATCCCTTTGTGCTTCAGATGGTGAAGTCCTTTGAGCTGCTTGGCCTTGTCGCCTTGTCCGTTGCATCAAACTGATTTCCATGGAACAAACAATAATGAAGCCGCTTGGTCTTTCTCCTCATCCTTGGCACCTTTTTTGCAAAAAAGGGTTCTTCCAGGAAGCGACCACTCCCTCTTTTAAGGGACGGGAGAAACTGCCTTGAGGACAGGATCACTTGCTGCTGCCTTTGTGGGCATTTATTTAACCCTCCCTGCGGCTACCTGCCAAGACCAGGTCTGGTGGATCTTGATGGTGCGAGTGGTGGATTTTCTTGGATTTTGTTAGTAATTAACAATTCCGTTGGATGGTCGGCCTGGAAGACGATTTCGTGGGTTAGGCAGCGGGAGGCGCCAGAGCCACTGGACAAGACCAGTGAGAGTCAGGCAATGCGGCGCAGTGTTCTTGAGCCAAGGACAGACAAAGGGATCTATATCCTCACTGAGCTCATCACGGGTGGTCAACTCTACGAACAGATGAGGGACAGATTTTGCGACCTGTGGTACTGCCAGGGGACGGGTATTGAAGAGACGGTGCAGCACTGGTGTTGTTGTTGTTGTTGGTGGTGGTGGTGGTGGAGGATTTGAGACAGTGCCGTTCCTAGCTTTGCACGGACATCCTGAGTCAGATGAACTCTTTTGCAGGACAAGATGGGTGCTGTCAGCAGGCGACATGCACAGCATCTTGGATTTAGATTAGTTTGGAGTTCGGATTGCGGAGCGGCCCTCTTTCAAAAGTTTGGGTCTGTCCTGATGAGGGGAGACATAAGTTTTTCAAGCTCTTTTTGGCAAGCAGTGGTAGCCACACCATCCATGTTGCTTTGTTGAGGAATATGGGCATAATAATCTGAGGTTCTATATTGGCTCCCTAGTTCTCATTTTGGAGGCTTTGCATATCAATGGCGTCGCCTACAGAGATCTGAAGCCTGTGACTTGGATGAATTGCGGGAAGGCGCATATGGCATGCGAAGGCAAATAGAGGCGAAGTCAAGGCCGAGATAGTTCTGCTGCAATGAAGTCTTTTGTGTTAAATGCAAATTTGTTGCTTGCTAAGTTTCATATGCACGAACCTACTGTGTAAATTATGCGTTCTTGATGTTTTGTAACCTTAATCCACAACACCCAATTGACACAAGCTCATCCACGGTCTTCCTTTTGTGAGCCGTGCAGGTGTCTTCCATCGGTCTTGAAATGAGTTGCGACTTGCAAGGCTTTGCGAAAGGATGGACCTAAGCGGGCTGAAAAGACGTATACAATTATCCTTGATAGGTATAGTATATAAAGGTATATATATAATATAGATAAATACAGAAACACACACATGTATATATATATATACACATGTATTGATCCATACACATTTATCCCCAAATTCTGAGTCTTGAGAGTTCCGGGTCCCATCTATGACTTTGTAAAGCTGAGTGTGTCGTTCATCCGTTCTCAAGGGCATGGTAGCTAGTCAGAAGTGGGTCGTTGATACCTTGTCCCTCATCTCGAACCTGTCTACAAAGGTGTCCTGTCCTTTGCATTTCTCTAGTTCTTGCCGCTCCTGGCTTGCATCTGGACATCCTCGTTTGCCTGCGTCTGGCCATCTTTCTTGCCTGGCATTTTCAGGCGACTCAGCGCCGTCCAGCTTCGTTTGCTGAATCGTCCACAGAATATGTTGATGAGCTTGCCAGCAAGTCGAGCAGTTGATCTCGGCCCTGAACTGTCTCCCCGCGTCACTTGAACGGACTGCACCATAATTTGCCTCACTTGCCTTTGTAGACCTTCCTCCTGTGGCACGGATGTAGCAAGAGGTGGATCAATGCCCCAAGGATGGAGGTGCATACGCAAGAGGCGGGACCAACACAGTATTTCCTACACATGCTAACCGTGGTCGCCTTTGCTCCACTGTTTCCACAGTTCACGAGAAAAGACGAGTCTTTCCCTCTCAGCCAAAATTCCATGTTCCGCATGGTGCCCGCTGATGTCACGGAATAAACCCTCTGGCTGAACTAGTGGGAAAGTGCAAGACTCAGTGGCTGTGCAGCCTGTGTGCGGCAGAGGGGAAAACACGCAGATGCAGTTAGCCGAGGCTTTTTACAAGCATGTAGAAAATAGTTTTACTGTATATATATGTATACACATACACATATGCGCACGCACAGTCTTTATATATATATATATATGTATACACGTATAGAATAGATATATTATATTATATATCCTTTTCTCGGTCATGTTGACTGGATTAGACTCAGGAAAATGTGATGCTGGATTCACAGGGCTACTTGAAGCTGGTGGACTTTGGCTTAGCCAAAGATCTGATGGACGGCAGCAAGACTTTTACCGTCGTGGGCACTGTACTTTGGCTGAGCCGTCGTGCTCATAGTTCCAGGCATTGAATGTTTGTAGGGAGTTTGGTTCAAACTCTGCTGTCCCTCGACGCGGCGGCTTCCATCAATATCGCCCCTGCGCTCTATCCCTCAATTTGCTTTTGTCGATGAGGTCAGCTACATGGCACCTGAAATTTTTGGTGGCACGGGCGTCTTGGCAACATTTTATGTGTCACTTCCCCCCGAATGCATGTTCAGGTCTCCTTGAACTCAATGCATGGAAACTGTTTGGAATGCAGATGTGAGGCGTAGGGTCTAGGGGGCAACGATTTGCATTTGGGGTAAAAACTGTTAACCTGGCAACTGTCCTGCAAAGGCTGCGAGCTAGAAACGACTTTCGGTTTAATTTGACGGCTGATTTCGCTCCAAGGCTACAGCCTTGAAGCCGATTTTTGGTCCTTGGGCGTTCTGCTGTATGAGATGGTCTGTGGGAGACTCCCTTTCGGCAATGAGCCACTTGGATGATAGAGACTTTAGAACTTATAAAACATGAAGAGATGAGGCAAATGTCAACATCTCCTGACAAACAATCTGCAATTGCTCGTTGTTGGATAACTTGGGGATATTGCTTGCATTCAGAAACCTTGAGAATTATTCCAAACTACTTTCCGTTCCAATTGGATGTGGCCATGCCTACTGCATTTCTGCTTTACTGCCGCTTTGAAGGTGCCTGGAAGAAGACCATATCATTGGTGCCATCATGGAGGACCAGTCAGTGGGACGAACGCCCAGACAGCGTTTATAACGGTGTTGGCCTAGTTGTGAAATGTGGGTCTCAATCCACCCATTGAGATTGGAACGGAAGAGGCAGCGAGTGTTCGGTTTGCAGTCTGGCTTTCGGAAAGGCCCGCTTCGGTGAGGGGTGCCATGGTTGTGAGCCAGAGAAGACCCCTCCATGTTGGCAGCGGCCAGGAGGAGTTGGTCTTTCCGCCAAAGTACAATGACAATGCAGGCAAGAATCTGCTGCTTGGAGCTGATCTTCTCTGAACACAGGTTCCATTGAGGATCAGTTGCAAATTTGAAGAGGGACAGCTGACCGTGAAGGTACAAAATGTCGGAAGCATGCTGTTGTCGCACATTTTCTCCTTGGACATCTGGATACCACTCTTTGATTTTTGATTCCAAGGATAGAGCGGTTTTTAGTGAAGAATCCTGCAGAGCGCATCGGAAGCAATGATGGCTGGGCAGAAGTCAAGGACGGCAGCAGCGGACAGTTGACAGAGGCTTTTCGTCTTGTGCACCTTGCAGTTTTTGCGTTCGAAGTGTGGGCACCGGGCACGTTCTTCCTCTCTTCATTCCAGTTGCTCCATGGCCCTGAGCTTCATCAGGACCACAAGTTCTTCAAGGTGGTGAAAGGCACCCTCTGAGTAATTTGCAGATGTATCTGGATTTCAATCTCCAGCACATTTGAAGATTGGGAAGATTGCACGTTTCCATGCGTTTGCAGTTGGCAACTAGTCCATCGGAGAAGGTGGTTTCCTGTTGCCTTGAGGGGATCTCTTCACCCAGATTCTGAGCCGAGAGATGAGTCCTCCACTTCTGCCCGAAGGGGAGGAGTACTCGAAAGAGGAATTCTTGTGTCCCGGCTTCTTGTGTCTTTCTCCCTGTTGTGTCTTTTTCTTTGAAGCAGTTTGAGTCGCATGGTTCTTCCAGTATTTCTTGACAGGCAGCATATGTTCTTTGTAAATCTGTGTAAGCATCTCTTTAGCAAGTAGTCAGCGAAGAGGGAAGATTTCATTGCTGCTAGATGCACATAGCATGTATTGCAGGGTTGCTTCCAGTCTTCAGCCAAGGAGTGAGATCATAACCCTCAGATGCTCGACACAAAGAGAAACATCGGAAGGGCGCTTGAAACACATGCTCGCTTCGTTCAATTTGGGCCGAAGGTGGCTTTTCATTTCACGGCTGAGATCTAATCCTTTGTTCTTGTGTGTAACTGTATTAGTAACAAGAAGCTATTAGAAACAAGTGTATCGCTACTAGTAACAAGTGCCTTACTAGTAGTAACAAGGACGCTACGAACGTAACAAGAAGTCATTTGTCCATTTTCAAGAGACGTGCCATCCAAACCTGGAGAGTCCCAACCCCACAAACGGGTGCACGTCAGAGAGCTGGTCGGTTTAGATATATATATATATATGTATGCTCTTTGGTGAGAACTATGGTATTCCCTTAAAATCTAGGAACCATATGAATAGTGCGAGCGTGAGCTATCCCGCATCCGGTTACTAGTAAGCTTACTAGTAGGTTGCCTTGCTGCACTTACTTAATCAAGTGGCCGCCTAATTAGTTAAGTAAGAGCGGGCCAAGAAAAAGAATGGTTTGTGTCACCATTTAATATATTTTGATGCAGTTGACACTCAGGCGATGCCGAAGAGCTGGCTGATGGAGAATTGTCCCTGGGATTCAGGTTCCGCCAATCTTCCGGTTTTGAGGAATTACAGCTTTCATCAGATACGTTATGCGAACTTATCAGACTTGACTGTGCCCGTAAAGTCAGTCGAACGGAGAGTGCAGCAATCTGGTATCAAGCAGCGGATTTGGGATCAATGATGGGCCATGAAGATGCTGCACCTTAAGGTTGCCTGTTTACCGTCTTAGTTGGGTGATGGCTCTATTGTACTGGGATTATTTATTTTAACGCGATCAAAGGTATTCGAATACCTCACCCTTGGAATACTTCTCACAAAACCAGGTGGCACGAGAATACCTCACGGCTTTTGAGATGAAGCCTGAAGACTCACGGTCGCCCTCGAATTCAAGGCTGAGAGCGCAGGAGCATGCCAAGGCCTGATGGGTGCAGCCCGGAAAAGAGCCAAGAAGGAGTCCAATGAGCCTCCTTGTTGCGTTGATCATCTATGGTCTACGGTTGGTGAAGAAACTAAGATAAACAAATCAGATAGTTTTTTCTTGCAAAACCTTCTGAAAGTGAGTCGTTCGCAGTAGGGTCGTCCCACCACAATAAACCTAGCTGACCTAGCTAAGGCTTGAGGCAGGTACTGACTTTTCAATACCGCAGCTGCTTGAAGAAGAAAGTGTTTGCTTCGAAGGTTTTGACCACACTGCAATCCCCAAGTTGGCCCAATGCTTGGTAGGCCGCCTGGGAAAAATTGGACGTTGAAAAGAGAGGACAGGTTTGCAAAGCCCGTTTTGCAGCAGGCTCCTGTGTGATTCCAAGGCAAGTTGTTCTTAAATCTGTGACCCATTTTGGAAGCGACAGTCAGACATGATTCCACCGGTGATTGAAGAAACGCCAGTGATTCAGAGATTCCGGCTTTCGAAGGTCATTCTATTTCTAAATGGAGCATGTCAAAAAATGTCGAGTGGATCCACTCTTGATTGCTCCCAATGAACAAGATCTCAAGCTTTGGTGCAGGAGTCGTCCCAAGTGAAGAGCTTGCTATGATTCTTGCAACTGCAGAGATTGATATGACCAGGCTGGGATAAAATCTTCGGCCAGGGCTGTTTCCAGCTAGAGAGTTTGATCACCTTTGTGTTGTACTGCTAAGGAACCTCTTAACATAGGACAAACGACAAACATGTGCTTGCCTCCGGCATGCGGGTGAAGTGTCCGCAACCATGGTGCACAGCACAGCATGAGTGTGGCCAATGCAGGAGGCAGATTGATGCTTTAGTGGAGGCGGTGGACACCAAAGCAACTTGGTGGTGGACAGGAAGGGTATCGCGGGTTTGAACCCTGAAGTCACACGGGAACTTCCAATCTCACATCAGCTTCAGAGATGTTTGATGGCAGACTCCTCAGCTTCAGTCTTTCGGGAATCAGTGTGTCATAGATGGCCTTTTACCATTGGTTGGTTTATTCCCGAGATAGCGAAGCTATGGCGTTCTTACTTCAAATAACAATGAGTTGCCCGTGCGCGCTTTTGAGACAGGTTGCTGGTGCCGGGTGCCGGTCCTGGTGCTGGTGCTGTGAGCTGGCTGCGCACGTGGTGGAGACAGGTTGCTGGTGCTGGCTGGGTGCCGGGTGCCGGTGCTGGTGCTGGTGCTGTGAGCTGGCTGTGCACTTGGTGGAGACAGGTTGCTCGTGCTGGTGCCGGGTGCCGGTGCTGGTGCTGGGTGCCGGGTGCCGGCGCTGGCGCTGGTGCTGTGAGCTGGCTGTGCGCGTGGTGGAGACAGGTTGCTGGTGCCGGTGGTGGTGCTGGGTGCCGGGCGCCTGTGCACGTGTTGGAGACAGGTTGCTGGTGCTGGTGCTGGGTGCCGGTGCTGGTGTGGCGCTGTGAGCTGGCTGTGCACGTGGTGGAGACACGGTGCCGGTGCTGGGTGCTGGCAGTGCGCGTGGCAGAGACAGCGGGTTCCGGTGCCGGTGCTGTGAGCTGGCAGTGTGCGTGGTGGAGACTGGGCGACGGTGCTGGGCTGGCTGTGCGCGTGGTGGAGACAGGGCGCTGTGTGCTGAGTGCCGGGCGCTGGGTGCTGGGTATACCGGTGCTGGGTGCTGGTGCTGGCGCCCGCTTCTGACAGTGAAGTGATAACAACTTCCGCTGCTTGCAGCAGTGAAGGGCGACCAAGCGCCGCTTCTGACAATGAAGTGCCAGCAGTCATGGGCCAATGGGCCGCATGAACTTATGCACGCAACATCATACGGTGTTGTCGCTTGAGCGTTCTTTGTCTATTACCCTAATAGCTGTGGGGTATTTACACTCTTCAGGTTCTGTTTTGGCCGACAGCTGTGTCAAGGGCTGTACTGTTTGCGCGCATACTTTTGTACGTATAATGTTCTATGCGCAACGTCAGGCTCTCAACCGACCATTGTTTCAGCGTGTTTCAGCGTGCTACACACACAATAGTCGTGCTGGATACTGCTTGGCCTTGGGCGAGCGACGCCTAAGGGCTTTGTCGTTTGCGCGCATACTTTTGTGCGCATGATCTTATACGCGCGAGATCATACGGCTTTATCGTTCTGCAGATCGTTGCTTCAAGCACGCTACAAAGTCAATAGTGGCGCTGGATACTGCTTGGCCTTGGGCCAATGACACTTACGGGCTTTGCTGCTTGCGCGCGTACTTTTGCGCGCATAAACTTATACGCGCAAGATCATATGTTGTTGTTATTCCCCAAATAGGGATAGCTATGGGGTTCTTGCTGCAAATAAGAATGAGCTGGCTGCGCGCGCTTTCGAAAGGGTGTCGGTGCTGGTGCTGGTGTTGTGGTCCTGGGTGCTGGTGCTGTGAGCTGGCTGAGCGCGCGTTTAAGATGGGCGGCGGCGCCGGTTGAGCGCTGGCACCGCTGCCGGTGTTATCAGCTGGCACAGCGCGCTGGCGCTGGTGTCAGCTGATTGTGCGCGCTGTGGAGGTGCCGCAAGCTGGCTGTGAAGGCTGCGTACATTCTTGCTCCAGCCAGTCGCATGTCAACGGGTAGGTATATCGGTATATGGTACCAACTCAACCCCTCTATTCTTCCCAAAAGGACATCACGCTGTGCAGCAAACTATTAACTTTACAATTGCAGATTTTTACTCAAAAGCTAGGGTGTTTAGACAAAGATGTTGTTGATGGACATGCTTGAATCGAGGACGATTGAGGGTTGCCGAGCCATTGGGTTTGTTGTCGCAATTGTATAGACTGACGTAGCTTTTCGCGCATTGCATGGTGCCTGCTGCTTGAAGCTTCATTCCGGAGAAAAGGGGAATGTTGTTTATTTGTGCGCAGCTTAACAGGCTTCACTGCCCTTTGAGTACTGTAATATTTTGCAAAGCTCCTAAAAGCAACATTTGACCAGCCCACCTATCTATCTATCTATCGATCTATCTATCTACCTACCTATCTATCTATTTATCTATCTATCTATCTATCTCTGTTGATGGATCATTGAAAACCGCTGGATACCATGTTCTTGTTTTTTCCCAGATAGCTGCAGGCTATAGGCTGCTTTGCTGATGCTGGTGCAGGTGCAGGTTCTGGCTCTGGATCGGCGTTTCGTTTTGCGGGCGCTGCAGCCGTGCTGGTGCTGGTGCTGGATCGGCGTTTTGTTTGGCCGGTTGTGGTGCCGTGCTGGTGCTGGCGCAGGCGCTGGCTCTGGATCGGCGTTGCCCAGAATGACATCATGTCGTGCCAGGGGTGACATCATGATGGCATCATGCCAGGGATGGCGCGATGTCGTGCCAGGCGTAAGATCATGTCATGGCAGGGATGAGATCATGTTTAGTGAGGGATGACATCATGTCATGCCAGGGATGGCACGATGTCATGCCAGGGATGACGTGATGTCATGCCCAGAATGACTGCATGTCACGCCAGGGATGACATCATGTCATGCCACGGGTGACATCATGTCATGCCAGGGCACGTCATGCCCAGAATGCCATCATGTCATGCCAGGAATGACATCATGTCGTGCCAGGCATGACATGCTGTCATATTGTGTGTGACACTGTGTTGTGCAGCAGTGATCATCGTGTTGTGTGGGCAGCTTTGGCTGACCCTTGCCCTTGCCGATCTTGCAGTTTTACGTCTGTGTTGGGCAAAGCGGGCGCATTCAGCTGATAGATGTTGCGCATATTGGTGGACTGGTCTGATGTTGCGTGCTGCGGTGACACGTGTCTGTGGTGTGTGCTTTAAGCGGATGCACCCGCTATCTGGGGTCTATGCCGATGCCGGTGTTTTTTTAGACTCAACATTGCCCCAATAAGAATGTTGGGCAGCTCATTGTGAGGCAGATGGCATCACATTTACCACATTCTGCGCATTCTTGGAGCACAGTGAGTTGGATGCGGCTGCAGTGCTTCGTGCGCTTGAGTCCAAGTAGCCTGGAGGCTTGTGGAGTGTCCGGGTTCAACGGTCGATCGGTGCCTCAACTAGAAAAGGCGATCGGCTGATGAGTCGTTGGACGTGACAGGCTCTTATGTGATGCCCTTTCTTGAGTGTTGCCAAGCCGGCACAACTGCTTACTGTTTGAAGAACTCGGGGTGTCGCTGAGGGATCTAAGGTGGCAACCATGGTTCAGATTTGAACTCTTTGGGGTGATGACTCCGACTTTTTCCTTAAAGTCTTAAAGGGCCACGGAGACGTCCGGTTCGGTCGCCGGGCTGGAGGTGCAGGTTGGGCTGCATGGCGAATTCATCAGCTGTGAGACTACGCTGGCATTGCTAAATGCATTTCTAGAGTTCAAAAGGAATTGACACATGGATGAGATGGTTTTGTGAGGGCAGTGTGAGTTCAGTGCAAAGAACGTGTTTGTTGTTGTTGCGCTTGTGTAAACGTTGGATGCTGAACTTGCTGTCCGAATGCTGGCAACAAGCTTGGATCGGTTTAAGGGTTGCCACCTAAGCAGTCGTTCGACCCTTGAGCGCGACGAACAGGCGGCAGTTTTTAAGAGCTGATGGGACTGAGACTGGGGCCAAGAAGGCCACATTGTACCTCACTTGTATGGTTTGATTCAATATTTCCTGTGACTTGGCATGTTAGAAAACAGATCAGATAAAACTCAACTTTGCCCCCTTTCCGTCCCTGCCCGTGTACAGACAGTTACCGTGGCTTATCGCCTAAGAGGCGCCTGACAAATGTCAAGCTGCCTTTGTCGCCTTCAGAGGCCTCTTTATTTTTACAATCTGGACGGTTGGGAAACCTTCATCAGCAACCTAGAACAGCCCTGGAACACTTCGAAAAGGAGCGTAAAGTCACTGTGGCCAGCTGCTTAAGGTGTCCCAACGTTTCTCTTGCAGCTTGCAGAGGAAAGGAGACTTTTTGAGTCATGACCACCGCAACACTATATGGCTTATCTCAGAACTGTGGTGTTGCAGCAACTACTAGTTACTAATGGCTAGTCGTATGTTGTGGCCAAATCTGTCAAGAACAGCGTAGTCAGCGCAGGTTGGTAGTCTGCATGACATTGAGTTTGGACCAGATTTTTGAACAGAAAAGCCCAATATTGAACCCCCAGACAATTCCATTCTCAGAAGATGTCTCCTGTGTATCGGCATTATGTCGTGCCCAGACTCCTCGCTGCGTGCAAAACAAGACATGGGCTTGCATTCAGCTGAGAGTTGAGTGTCTCAATGCACAATTGAATTCGTTCGGTTGTCTTGTCTCGGCTGGTTCTCTTTACCGAAGCTGGGAATGGGTCTTATGTGAAGATCCCTCTAGTCCCTCTAAGTTCTTGAGAGTGAGCCTGCTCAGCCTGGGCCTCGTCCTAGTCATGTTGTTGGGACGACTGAGAGCTTTGGCAGCTCAAGTTGCAAGAAGAGTTTCAACTTGGAAGCTGTTTCTAACTTGTTTCTCTGTCCTCTTTGCTTGGACTTTGTGTTGTTTGACTTCGTTCATGATAGACACAAGAAGCATGGGGTGGCTGATATAGAATCCCAAAAGAAGTGGTTGCTCATCCACCAGAACGGTGTGATCCAAGATGGATCGGGAGTCTAGAGTTGCGATGATTCTTCCCGCCTTTTGCATGGTTCGTGCCGGTTTTGGCCAATGCCCGGCCTGTGCTCGTGGTCGGACCGAGACTTTGTAGCTGATAGAGCGGGCCGAAACTGTGAGCTTTTATATAAGTACCACGACCGGCCATTCGATTCATCCACAACGGTGTCTTCCACAGAGGCGTTTGAAGGCATTGGCATTTTCTCCCCTGCCGATGTGGTGTTGAGATGTTGTCATCGTGCTAAGAAAAACTCAACAAAAGATGCAAAAGCCTCAGCAACAAGCAGGCAAATCAATCTACAGTAGAAACTGGTCATGGCCTTCGCTTTATTGGCCCCTTGGCTCACACAGATTCGGTCTTGACAACTGCATGTGTGTGCGGGACATTGGAGCTGTTGTATTTCTCTCTTTTCCTGACGGTCTTTCTGTGGTTGTTCCGTTCTTGTGACTAGGGGTTTGCCCCTCTCCGCCTTTCTTTCCTGTCATTCCGCACGGGCAGGTTTTTCTCTCTCTGCTTGTGGCGACCACACGGGCTGGTAGTGGCTGCAATGAGGCTGCGGATGAATCTAGGCAGAATGCGAACAGCAGAATGCTTCATGCTTCAAGCAGAGCACTGCTTCGATCTACTTCGGACTGGTTTCAACATGTTTCAACTCCAATGCAACAGTTCTGACATGAGACCTTGTGTTGTCCCTTTGGGTTGTCGTTGCGTTCTGCTTCAAATGCAACACTCAATTCACCGTCCGAGAGCGAGGATCCGGGTCCGTGGGTGAGCCAGTTGGACATTGAGAAGACTGAGGCCGTTCTGCTTGGGGGTAGAAAAGGCCAAACAGATTTGGAAAACATCGTTTGGGCGAGCCTACCAGATCCTAAAAGCTATCAATTTTATATAAAATGATCTTCTGAGGCCTGAGGCCATAGGGCCAATGGTGAAATTCCAGCGGGATTCATTCTGACTTTCACACATACAACGATTCTCAATTCTGACTACTGATCTGGGGGTGTCTAGCATGGCATCAAAAGTGGACACCTGTTAGCAGACCTCATGGCTTTGGGCGCTGCAGGAGGGCTTTGAGTTGCAGCTACACTTGGTGGGCGGAGATGTGGCAGCCTCCTCGACTGAGTCAGTAGAACTGACGCTTTCCACCAAGGCTGGCGAAGAAGTGTTGAAACAAAGTGGCCAAGAACTTAGTCATGTTGACCACGGAAGTAAGTAGTTAACAGTAGTTATTCTGTCTGAGCCTTGCTCTTTCTGATACCCTTCAAACACTTTTCAAGTCTGCATGCTACTTTGCTTCTTTGTTGGATCACTTGTATACATGCAAGGCAGTAGTTTGTTTCCAGGGTAAACATCAACTGCTGGCTCATCAACGTGAACTTGCAAGCTGCAGGATAAAAGAAAGAGCTTTGTGTTGATGAAGCACAACGCCCTGAAAGGAGGAATACTTGAGATTAGCCGCTTGGCAGTGCTGCCCAACTCATGCAGTATGTTCTTGATGGCTAAGAGCTCATTAGCTTGTCTTGTGTGGAACTTGAGCACCCGCTTAAAACACTCATGAAAGATTACACTAGACTGTCAGAAGGTGGCATCCAACTTTTCTTTGTGAGTTGGATGACATGTGTTAGGAGCAAGGACGCTACTAGGGGCTCCTGGCCGTACTATTAGGAACAAGAAGCTATACTGGCTAAAAACTTCGTGTTCCCAACGATTTTTTCAGACTTTTTGCGTGCGACGCCCAGGAACCGAAGAGGACTTGCTCTCCGGGCAGGCCTTCTTTGTGCAGGCAACCTTGGCGGAGTACAATGGAAACTCCCACGGCCCAGAGACCTTGGCATGTCAGGTGCGGCCACAAGAGCCACATCGCTACAGCTGTCTTCGTGTAGCTGAGCCAAAGAAGGCCTCTGAAGGTCCACTGCCTTCAGCTTCGTCTGGTGGACAAGATCAGCAGATGCAAATGCAAGGTATGCACCATGGCACAGCTGGATCCGGACATGAGCATCCTATGCACCAAGGTGAACACATGCAGGGCATGCATGGCATGCACGGCACGAAGGGCATGCATGGTTCAGGTATGCGTGGAAGTACATCGATGCGTGGGACAGCAGCTCCTACAGCTTCAATGATGGGTGCTCAACAAGCGCCCATGGCAGCTTTGCCACTCTCCCTTGGCGCTGTGTGCACCCCTGGCTTTGGGAACTGTCCAGCTGGAAGTGAGTGCAAGGCTGGGGCTGCTGCTCGACCCTGTTTGCTGGTGAAGTCTGGCCAGCATTGGCAGCAAACAAGCGGGTATTTGTTGGTATTAGGTTTCGAGTGGGGTTTGTCAGGAGTTTGCGTCAATCATGAATCGGGATCACTTCAATCAGCAGGGTCTCGCACGCAGCTGGTTTCGGGTGGGTTTTGACCTCTTGACACCTATCGCGGTGCCTAGTTCAGGTATATGGGAGAGAATTCACCTGCCAGCGACCTGCCAGAGCCTCAGTGGTATCTTGAGCGTCAATGGTAGATCAGAGTTGGAGTTGAAAGAGCTGTTTTGTACTGCACCCCAACTAGTCTCGGTTTAGACATGGGTATTGGTGCGGTCTCAAGGTCAAGTGGGACGATCTGATATTTTGTCCTGCAGAAACTGCTTGTAGAGTCTGGGTCTCCTTTCTTTTGGCTGCAACTGTTGTTTGCCAGATATTCAGGCTGATAGAGCGGTTTGACGTTCATGTTCAATGCAATTGACGATTGTTGCTTGAAGTTTTCCAGCAAAGGTTGCTTCCACTGTGGCAAAGGGCAGCCGCATGGTGCTGGTTGGCGGACTTGTGTCATGGCTTGTCATGGCTTCCTCTTCATGCCTTGACCGTCCTTGGATCACCATCTCTTCCAATACGACTCAAAACGGCCCAACCGGTCAATCCAACACTTCCGATGATTCTGTTGATTCTAAGACTGACACAATCACATTCACCGGCATTCACCTTCTTCTTTTTGAGTCTCAAGCTGCATGTCCCAGGTGCTCCTCGTTTTCCTCGGTGTCGTTGCCTGGCTTTTTCGCCAGCTTCGGGTCCGTTCCGGACGAAGCTTCGGCAGCTTGCCCAAGGTCCGGAGTCCCACCGGTGGAGATTTTGGATTCGCTGGCGGAAGTTCCTCCGGTCCATTGAAAAAACAGATCTGCTTCCGGAATTCCAGGAAAGAATCCACTTTAAACATATTGAATCTACATGGCCTGTTTCAAATAGGGTTAATGCAGTTTGATGATGTCCTCCTAGGATTGGAAGTCACCAATTGAATTGACCTTCCTAAGCATGGTTTCGATATGGTTTGATATGTGATCTGTGATTGTTTGCAGGTTGTGGGCAAAGCGAACATGGACTTGTCGACCATGAGGCCAAAAGGACCTGCGTACCAAGAAGCCTCCGACAGTGTTCCTCGATGCTCAAGACTTGGGGAAGACTATGCGGAAGTAGTTGTGTGTGATTGCTCTGGCAAGTTGCTATCCAAGGACGAAGACTACAGAGTCTTCTAGGATGGCATGGACGCATCACCTGCACCCCAAGTGTGAGAGGGTGAAGGCCGTGGGTGGGAAGTGTCTTTCAAGTGTCTAGAGTCCGCAGTACTATGATGCAGACAAAATATCCTATTGGTTTTAGCTGATAAGACCTTTTCCTTATTTTAGCTGTTTCGGTGTGTTTTGCCTCGCGTTTTAGTCCTGATTTCACGTTTGGTCCTTGATGCCTAAGTAGGACTTGGGTCTCAAGCTGGATTGGCAACGGCAGGGGCCATCCACCCCAATGAAACCATCAGACGGAATCATGGTATAGTCCCTACCTATGGAAACATGGGTAGCATTGTGATACAGTTGCCTGCGCCAGGCAAAAGCTGCACCGTAGGGCCTCTGGCAGTTCAGTATAGATCGGGACAACACGCCAGGCCACTGGTTGCCAGCTGCCTGAGGTCAGTCTAGTTTGGACATGTTTGTACAGAATTCATCGGCATCACATCCGTCACCACGAATCGGTGGAGCCGAAATTGGGTCAGCGGTGCGGAAGCACTACTTGCTCTTTGGATCCTTTTGTGTACTCTGTTGTTGCCATGTGTTGCCATCAGGAGGACATGTGGGGAGAACCTACTCCTTGGTACTGGCTTGAGCGAGGATTTGGCTGGTCAGAGACTTCAGCACCACGGTTTTTCAGCAGTTGTCAAGCCATCAAAGACTGGACCGATGAGGACAAGGCTTGGGAAAGCACTGAATGACTGACTCCAGCAAAAGACGCACACAAGTACAGTAACAAGAGGACGCTACTAGGAACAAAGGGCATCGCTACTAGGAGCAAGGCCGCTACTAGGGGCGCTCCGGCCTTACTAGTGACAAGAAGCTACTAGGAACAGCTGTCTGTGTTATGACATTTGAAAGAAGTATGAAAGAAGCCACAAGGGTATGATATTGGCGCCATGAGAGGGATTGAAGATGAACCCACACATCACGCACACATGTTGGGAAGTCGCGAGTACACACTACATAACGGTGTGTCGGGCTGAGCGTGCCTGAAAGCTCTATCTCTTCATCAGCTCTACCTTGCTTAGCCTGCTTGGCAGCTGGCACAGATGTCGCAGTGGGTTCAGGTCACTCAGGGTCGCTGTTTGTCATACAAATCTACCACTCAAGTGCTCGAATGATCAAAGTTGCTCTGAGTGCAACTGTACACAGACCTCTTTCCAAGTTGTACTGGAGCTCAAGCTTCGCTCAAAGATCAATGCAACCCTGAAAGGACATTTGTAGCTTTTGTTCAAGGTGTTCACTTTTGTGGTCGGTCGTTTTCATGTTCTTTCCCTACCGAAAGTCTGATTCACTGATACATTCTCCACACTATCTCAACGCCCCTGTGCTTATTGGGCAGCGTTTAAGACGCTGTTCTCCGGAACCTGTCTAAGCCAGTTAGAGCCGTGGCCAAGACGTGCCTCGCAAAGCCACATGGCCATGTGTGAATCAGTCCAAAGCTGCAGTGAAAGTGGCACATCTTGGGACTGCTTTGGGCAGTTGGCTGCTTTGCATCGTAGCCCATGATTTTTCCAGCAGAGCGCCAGCTGGAAAAGGAGCGACGCGGTTTGAGAAAGATATCCGAACCTATTCCAAGAATTACTTTGCTGCAGTCGACATGGGTACAAAGGAACTGACAATCAATTTGAGGTGTTGGACTCAGCCTATCGGCTCCCTTTCTTGACCGCTTTGTTGTATTTTTGAGAAATCTAGTTCATGAGCTTGGAGTTGCTTTCATGCTTGAGGGTTCATGTCGGCTTTTGAGCGGTTGAGACATTCCCGCTGCCGTACAGGCCTTGAGCTGATAGGCTGAGGAAATAGCGTTCTTTCGTTGGTCGATTCCCTTCCCGCTACCGCAGTGGTGACGCGGAGCTTGGCTTCTTTTGTCCGTGGCCCTTTGGTGGCCGCGCTTTCGCACTCCGCCTTGGTTGATAGGACAGCGAGCCTTGAGTGGCTCATTCGAGACCGTGGACTGGACTAGACCTTGTTCGACGAGCCGGACGACCAGGTGCATGCATGATGTCGGAGGACAAAGGGCATGGGTGTGCTGGCGGCTGGTCAGAATCTGGATTTGACGCTTCGATCCCCGTTTGGGACGGACGTGCTGACACCCTTCGAGAATTCAAGAAGACAGTTACTTGGTGGCTATCTAGTATAGATCTGTCGAAGACACGTTTCTTCAATTTGGCTGCCAGGTTTGCAATGCGACAGAAGGGTTCGGCAAAACTTCGTGCTTTGGAGTTTTCTCCGGATGAGCTGACCTTTAGTCCGGAAGAGAGCATTGATGATCCGGACAAGCCCGACGAGAAGGTGGTGCTGAAAGAAGCCGATTACACCATCGGCATTTGGAAGTTGATTGATGCATGGGAAACAATGGTTGGCAAGACCGTGAACGACAAGAAGGGCGAGTTGAGAGAGAGATTTTATTTGTCCTTGAAGCGTTCACCACAGGAATCCATCGCTGCCTTCTCCCTTCGGTTCCGCACTCAGATAGCTGAAATGCGTGCTGAAGGTATATATCCAGCTCAATGACGAGGAGGCCGCTTGGTTTTACAGACAGAAGCTGCAGTTGACAGAGATTCAAAAGCAATTGTTGGAAACAGCCCTCTCCTCTGCCGGTGAGAGCTATGCTGAAGCTGAGAGAGAAGCAGTCCGGTTGTTCAAGCGCATTCACATGACTGGACCGAGCTTGAATCCTGCCCCTTGGAAGAGACCACCCCTGAAGCCGTTTTCTGGAAAAGGTTTTTCTTCGGGTCGTAGGCCATCCTCTTCAGGTTCAACAGTTGTTTCAGCAGCTTCTGGATCCTCTGGTTTTTCCAAAGGATCTCGCATGTCATTGAGCGCTTCAGCAGTCAATGTTGCCGAGCAGGAGCCGACGGAGGAATTTGATGGTGAGGACTATGAGGCCTGTGAGGCCGTTGGTGAGTTGACAGATGATCATCACGATCAACAAGATGCAGAGTTGTTGCAGGTCCTCAACGACGAGGTTGAAGTGCTGGCAGCTGAACTTGAGGCTGCAGCCAATGAAGGCTGTGATGGCGCTGAACTTGAAGCACTTGAGGAGCAGCTTGATGGAGCCGTTGAGGCTTTGGTGACATTGAGAGAGGCGAGAACTCAGATCGCCTCCATGAGGAAGGATCGCGGCTTTCGTGGCCCTGGCATTGGAAGTGGTTCAAATGCTGGAAAGAAGAAAGCTGGAACATGCCACGTGTGTGGCCAAGAAGGGCATTGGAAGGGCGATCCTAAATGCCCTGGACCTTCCTCATCGAACCCGTCATCTGGCAAAGGCAAAGGCAAAAAGGGCAAGCTGCAGTCCGCTTTGAAAGGTGTTCGAAAGTCAACCACCGAGTCCCACATCGCAGAAGTGAATGTGATTGATTTGCTTCCCCCAGTTCGTGAAGTCGCCTTCCAAACCGGACCTCCTGATGTACATGAGATTTCGGTCACCGAGTGTTTGTCTGAGGTTCTCATGTCGTTGTCCAGCAGCCACCACCTTTCCGAAGACAAGATTTTGCAGGCAGCGTTGGACAGTGCCTGTAATCGATCGTGTGCGGGTACTCTATGGATCTCTCATACTGAAGCAGCATTGGAGAAAGCCCCGAACTATATCAAGGAGTTGATCCAGCGAGTTCCTGAACACGAGAGATTTCGTTTTGGGAATGGAGGGCGGTTGGTGAGTCGAGAACGAGTCCGACTTCCGTTTGTGGTAGCTGGCAAAGTGATCCTTGTTTGGGTTTCTTCAGTGCCGTGTGCATCCCTGGGTCTTTTGTTGGGCAAAGATGCATTGGACGCCTTGGGTTCATTGTTGGATTTCATGGGCAATCGCATCCAATTTCAGTTGCTTTCCCCTCAAAAGTGGATCCCATTGCGCAAGTTGTCAGCTGGTCATTTTGCGATTCCTTGCCTTCCTACTCCTCTCACCCGTTGGCCGTCATTGAGTTCGCAACCATGGGTTCGTGTCGGCAAGGGTTCATGCTGTGAAGTGCAAGTAGAAAGCAAACAACAGTGGATTTTGAAGAAGCTTCGAACGACTTTTTCACAGAGTTGCACCTCGGAGCCTGAGAGTCAAGTGGTTGAGCATTTTGTTTCTGCTAGCTTTTTGGATTTGAGCTTGGAAGCCTTGGGCGATCATGCGAGCCGCGCTACCGAGATGGCAGCCTCACGGCAATCGGCAGCCGCCTTTGCGAGCGGCCTTTCGCTGGAGTCGCATGTTCACCCGCCTTGTTCACCGAGCTCTATGGCATTGGCGCGGCCTGCTCCTGTGGCTGATTCAACGGCCCTATTTGAGGTATGTGCCGTGTCCTCTTCCTTCAGTGACGACGGCGCCGGAATGGCATCAGCAGGTGGATTCCATGGTGGCACGAGGTTCATGGCCTCATCGATGGCAAGCCCGCATCAACATCGGGACACTATGCACAGCCGTGCATTTGAAGAGGCCACCCACCTTCGAGATCGTTTGGGACTCCGCCTGTCCTTCCTGGAGGACGAGATGATCATGTTCGGCCTGAAAGCCTTGCAGAAAAACAGATCTGAGAAGCAGCGGCAATGGAGGCCCAGAGATTGCTCAGCCTGGGCAAGCAGGAGCGCACAATGCAGCTACGCGCCTTGCTGGGGCCAAAAGGAGGCTTGCCGCGGCTCAAGGAAGAATTGCAGAAGGCTGCTGCTTTGCTCAATACACCCCTGTCTCCGACGGCCACCGTCGACGAGATTCGGAAGCTTTTGCAGCCCATCGTCAAAGACTAAGACTTGATCGCCAAGCCCAACTGGGAGGCTCCAGATGTGCCCAGGTCATCGCAAGCAGTAGCGAAAGCGAAGGCCAAACCGTGCGCAGCTCCAGCAACAACAGTACAACCTCAGGTGATCAATCTGGCTTCACAGGACGCGGACGAGGCTCTTCGACGACTTCAAGATCTTCCAGACGAGCATGTGAGAAGGCTGACTATGGGCGATCCCATCTGGGATCAGGCCGGGGAGCAGGAGGCGATGTCAGAGACGTCATTCTTCCATCTGCAAATGGATCAGGAAGTTTGGAACGAGACCATCCGAACTCTTCAGGTGGAGGTGAATGCAGTCGACGGAATGGAGGATGTGGAGACTCTTCACACCGGCGATCTTCTGTGCGGCAGAGCATTGGCAAGATCGTCCAACAGAGCTTTCAGCAGATGAAGACTGGCTTGAAACAGACCATACACCAAGGTTTCCAACGACTTCGACGACTACATGATGCCTTGGCTGTTGACTATAACAAGGTTCAGGACACCTTGGAAGAGTCTGAGTATGACCTGAAGGCAGCTATTGCTGATGGAGAGAAGGAGTGCTTCATGGGACAAGTTCTTCTCCCTCCACTACCAGCCTTCGGTGACTTCTCTGAGAGCTTTGTGTTGGAGCAAGCGTTGACCTATGCTCGCCATGGTCCATTTGTGGGCGAGACCTTCACAGACAGCGAACAAGTCAAGAAGCAAGCAGAGAAGCGAGGTCACTCCACGATGCCAAGCATGACCTTGGGTACGGGCTATGACTTCATGAAGGACAAGCGCCAGCAGAGAGCCTTGGATGAGGTTGATCAGGAAGCACCATACGCTCAGGTGATAGCCTTTCCTTGTGGCCCTTGGTCTCCTCTACAAGCCCTACGCGCTAAAGATCGACGTCGCAGAATGTTGATGCTTTGGAGGAGGAAGAAACACCATAAGCTGGTTCGCTTTGCCGTCCGAATGGC